CTCTCTCTCTCTCTCTCTCTCACAGTGTCGCATACATGGAAGACCTCCGAAAGCCAGCATGCAAACTAGGAATGGAGATGGCCATATCACCAAGGACAGCGCGCTTTGCAGGCTTATGCAGGCTTTAAGTGTCCAGCCAGCTTTTGCTGTCTGACGTTCCGATTGCCCTTGTAATTTGCAGCACAAGATTTTTTTGACGGAGTCGTCGATGTCATTGTCCGAGTTGTGGCATCGCAGCGCGAGGCAGAGGTGCACAGGACAGTGGCCGGAAGACGACGTGCACCCATAAGTACGCAAGGCGCTTTGGCGAGCACGCGCGAGGTCGAGTTGCGCCATTCCGAAACCCTTTTGAAACGGCAGGGCGAAATGCCACACCAAGGGCCCTTGAAGGCCAACATGGGCACGGGATTTTGGCAGGAGCACGATTTCCATTTGCAAATCAAGCCAAAGCATGCACAAAACTTTGGCGGGAAGAGAGTAACTGGGGCTTGCAATGAATTCGGCGTCCGGGTCCAGCAAGCCTGGAGAAGCAGCGTGGAACGATTTTTCTCGCAACAAGTGCCAGGGCGCCTGCAGCATGCACTGGGTGAGGACAGCGCCCCCTTCCCTGTACCCAGAACATAAGAACCCCATGGTGTTACCACACTGTTTGTGGAACCTGCAGGTGCTCGGTCTGATCTGACTTGGCAAAAGGCTTCTGCAAGACTCGGATATGCCCTGGTGACCACACTTTCCCAATGATAGATGCAGCATTTCTCAGCCGCGACAGGAGGAGCTGCTCACAGCTGTCCAGGGCCATGGGGTGACCAAAGAAGAGATTGCAGAGGCGACAATCCACGCATTGTACACAGCAGCCTTGCAACAGTGACAGTCGTAGTGTTTGCACGTGAGCATGGTTGGTGGCAGGCACTGGATGGCTGTGACCTCGATCATGATGGTGAAATCAACTATGCCGAGTTCATGAAGATGCTGCGCTAGCGTTCGGGTTCACAGACCCCGCCTGTGTTTGGAAATCGCAGACTCGGTGCCCGTTATGAGGAAGGACGAAGTTCCTTTCAAGCACGCGCGATCTTTGCAGGCAACGCAAAACTGTTTTTAAAACTGGGCAGCCCAAGCTGTTGCAGTCAAGTGATGCTTGCAACACTCCTGCCGTGCACCGCAACCTTTATGCCGTGCAACGCAGAGATCACAGGCACCAAAAGCTGCTGCGGGTTCAATGTCTGAAGCTTTGCATCATGAGACTAACTTGCTGCTGCTCGTGGTGCTGTCGCTGCATTGTGCTGTAGTAAGGCGTGAATCATGTCTATCTCCTGCAAGGTCTGATCTGAAGAGCGACCACGAGGAAGAAGCCACTGCAATAGCGGGCATGACTGCGAAGCGACGGAATTCAAGCCGAGCGACAGCCAACCGGCCGTTGAGGCAATCCCGGCCATCCAGAAAATAGTTGCTTCACAGAGTTGCTGAGGATCTGAAGTCGAGCATGATGCATCTGTACTCCGAGATCCTCAAAATGGTGTAGGTTTTGGCCGCTCCAAAGAGTTGCAGTTCAAGAGCTCCAAGCAGACCAGATCCGGGATCATGCGGAATTTGCCGGCCTCGTTGCGGATGTTGACCGAATGAAGCCAGCAGCTTGTCAAAGCTGTGTTTGAGGATGCCAAGCATCATGCCCGCGAATTTTCGACTCGGAAAAGGCTTCAAGACGCGAGCTATGATTGCAGTTTCCGAAAACTACGGTAAGACGAAAGTTTGACTTATTCGTTGTGTCGTCGAACACAGGCACCCATTCCCAAATAGAATTCCAGCAAAAGTGGGTCACAGGGTAGTAACAATTTCAGGCAGGGTAAAAACTACTCCACTGCCCAGACCATGTAAATCGCTCTTCTCGGTACTCCCTTACTCCGCAAGACGCCTGAAGAGAAGAAGGGTCCAGTAGGGCAAAACTTTCGTCCTCCCGATTGCGAACGGTGAAGTGCACTGCACGCACGTGATTCACTGATTTGGTGAGCATTTGGCAAGATACCTTCTTTTGCTCATGTCGGATTTAAAGCATTAGTTGTCCCATCCGGAGCTGAGATGGAGTCACCGGAGGCCAGCCTCAAAGTATTGCTTCTGCTTGTATTCAGGCTGGATCGTTCACTACGGTGTGAACTGAACAGAGCGTAATGAACAGCGACGCAAAGACATGCTGGTGCAGGTTCCCATACTTCGTCACGAACTTACTTCGTTCTCAGTGGTTGGGCAGAAGGTGACAAGTTGCGAGAGAAACTGAAATCCAGTTCCCGAGTTGCCGGGATAGTGGGATGCGGTGAGGTGCTCTGAAGGACCATGCTCAAGCTGGGCAGTCCTTGGCTGTGCTGGAACATGGTAAGGCAAGGCATTGTGCTTTGGGGCACTCCCTCGGCAGTTCCTCATCATGCGCGTGCAGCTGCATGTATGAAGTATGACGGGTGTATCTGAGAGCATTCTGACGTTGACTTCAGGCAGAAACCGTGGAGCTCTCTTACTCAGATTTGAGAAGCTGGGGTCTTAGTTCGCTAGGCCCGGCCCGGCCTGTTTTGAGATTGGAGGTCAGGTCTCAATGAGAGGCTAAGCCGTCTTGTCAGAGCAGCACGTGTTGGCGAGGTAATGTGCAGGCAATCTCTGCCAGCATCAGGGCTCTCCTGAGCAAGAAGTCGGATGCACTGCCGAGGCCGGAGGGACCTTTTAAGAAAGGCGTGATGGTCAATTCTCCGCAAAGCCGGCCAGGCATGTGGCATTTTTTGTTCACCCATCTGCTGCGCCCGAACCTCGGAAGCTTGAACCTATGAATGGACTGTCAACTTAAGTGTTCTTCACGGAGGTACGTCGTCACTGAGCTCTCCATCTGGGCAGCAGATGGCGTTTGTGTGCGCTCTTCCCGCGGACTCTCCGAGATTTAAAGGGCAAGGTTAATGTGCAGCCGACATGCACATGTACTAAGTACTAATACTATCTTGTTTCAACCCGATTTCTGCAGATGTCTTCACAAGTTTTATTGCAAGTCTCCGAAAACCATCCTGCATCTGCCCATTATCGGACGTGTTGCGCAGGTGCCGCTGTCAGTTCATTCGCCAGTACCAGAGCTTGAATACTTCGTGAAGGATGCCATGCATTGAGCCTGATGAGTGAAGACATCAGTCAGATGAGATATGCCTGCTGGGCAGGACAGCGAGAGTTGCCTTTGTTTGTCAGATGCTTCGGGCGCACCGAAGATGAAGCCTGCACCTTAGGCTCATGGAAGGGCACGCAAGAGCGAGAGAGACAGAGCACGAAAGAAGAAGCTCCATGGGACACCTTTTCAAGCTATGAGCGGCTCAGGGAAGTGGCTGGGAAGCTGTCCAGACCCTTTGCTGAAATTTCAAAGGCAGGGGCGTGGAGGAGAAACACGCTTGTAGACATCTTGCTTGTTTGGTAAAATGCCGTGCGCTGCTTGGCTGTATTATCGGCTGTATTATCAAGCCGCAGCATCCCATCCTTCAGTTATCCGAAGGCGACCGAGTCTTCCAAAGCATATCGACTGTTGGTCGATGGAGGCACCTGTGCTCGGCGTTTCGTAGACGTGACTTAACAGGGGGGAGGCCCTCAGCTTCGAAGTTCCGGTTGCTGGTGAACTCCATCTTGACCAGGTCCTGTTTCGCCTGCCGCACGCTGCCTCAGCGTTTCTAGTTCAGCCACGGCGATAGCGGCTTCGAGCATGAAGGGCTGCGGGTGTTGATGTGGAGCGAAGCCAGCACTTCAATGGGCTTTGCGACATTTTGTGACGCTTGTCTTTGGGCTCTTCCTCCACAGCCTGTCTTCAAGTCTCGGGAAGGCCAACAGACTCGGACAGGGTTGCTTACAGGGAGGCTTTCCCAAGCGTTCTGCTCAAATCGCGACGGCACATGGATTGCGCCCAATCTGCTCGGATCCTGCTGAGGAGCAGCCCGGCTGCTTTTCTTGCTTCTGCGGCTTGTTCTCTTCACGAAGTGATGTCGAGCTCTCAGTTTCTCATGTCAACAATGCAAGCACGAAGTTGATTAGACTCGTCGCAGCAAGGAAGAATACATTCCGTCCTTCCTTCTTGCATCGCATACTTTACCGGCAGGTCTTGTCGCAGAATGCGCTGATTTTGTACACATCAGGAACGACCGGACAGCCAAAAGGCGCAGACATGTCGTCCAGAGCTGCTTTTTCTTCTCATGCGGTGCTTCTCGCAGGCGTTGTTCACACGTTCAATAGCTGCAGCCCAAGAGCTGGCTGACCAAACGAGGGGCAGCGGAACGTCTGCAAACTCAGAGAACAGGTCTCACCGCACAAATGCGGTCTCTCAGTGAGGCATGGAAGCCTGCTTCTTAGAGAGTAATCCTGCGGCAGCAGGATCGTTGATCAGCGTCTTGGATCAAGGTGGTCTTCCAAAGACCGAACTCTGCACGTCCTCCCCCTCCACCATATTCATGGTGTCCTGGCCCTAACCCGGTTGAAAGGATCTGTTAGGCACGAGATTGCAGAGGATCTGCGTCCTGCTCGTAGGTTCAGAACATCCTGAACACGGCACTTTTCAACGGAGCAGCTGTCGAGTTGACGGCATTCGATGCTGCTTTCTGCCTGAAGCCAGCAACTCAGACTCATTCACACTCAGTTCACAAGCCGCAAAGATTCGGAATGCAGAGGCGCCTCGCCTCCGGAGATATCACCTGCTTCCATGCGGTGCCAACAGTGTATGTCACGTCTGGCCTGGTTCTGAAGCCGATAGGTTGGAAGATGCGCCGCACCTTCTGCGCGTGATACTGTGTAAGTGTATCTTCAGCCCTTCCGATGGGATGCGCCAGGTCAAGTTTACACAATACTTGGATTCACTCCCTGCTGATGCAAGACAAGCGATCTGCTGCCTCCTCATGACAAGCTCGGATCAAGCCGGCGCAGCTTCAAAAGGTGTAACAACTGTGCCAGGCAGTGGGCTCCGGAACGACTCTATGCGGTTCCCGAAATTTGCTTGCTTGTCTGTAGCTTTACAGCTTTGATTTCCACTGCAGTCCTTTTCGTGCTGCCACCAGTGTGTTCCTCCAGGTACATGGTATCCGGCTCAGCAGCTTTACCCGTCGGGTGCTTGGCTGTCGGCCTCGAGTAAGATCACTGCACTGCACTGCGTCGTGTCGCAGGTGCCGACCATGAAGTCTTGGGCAGAAATCTCTGGCCACGTCCTTCTTGAGCGGTGAGACCTGTCGGGCCCACCTTTCTTGAGGCCCGAAGCTCGAAATTTGCGGAGGTACGGCATGACGGAAATCGGCATGGCATTGAGCAATCGGGTAGCTGGCACTCGGTATCCAGGGCTTGTGCCTCAGCAATCTCGGATCCAAAGTGGGGCGCATCCCTTCAAATCTGAACGCGAGGTGTGTGGGCTGGCCGCTGCCAGGGGTGGAGGTCAAGCAGGATCAGGCCAGCACGCTCAGAATTTAGGAATTGGCGATTCGCTCAAGCACTGACAATGCAAACATGTGCGATGCACGCACTCGCGATTCAAGAGGCTCGTGGTTCAAGGGTGTTGTGCCTTTTTAGTTCGTGGTTGTAGGGCTTAGGGTTTCAAAGTTTACAGGTTTTACGGTGTGGTGTTTGTAGAAATCGGGCCGTTCAGGGTTCAAGGTCTATGCTTTCGAGGTGTCGGGTCGTGGCTTTGCGGTTTCACGGTGTATCGGGTTCAGGCTTTGTGTGCTTTGGGCTGAGGGCGAAGGGAGTGCAGGGTTTAAGGGTTGTGAATGGCGAGGATGTTGCGGACTCCGCTCGTCAGTGCAAATCTGCGGATTCTTTTTTCAGTTGCGAATCGGTTCTTCCGGTGCGTAGATTGGAAACTGGAAGCTCGCGGCGGGATCCCTCTCCCTTTCTCTCTCCCTCTCTCCCTCTCCCACTCTCCCTGTCTCCCTCTCTCCCTCTCTCCTCTCCCCCTCTCCTCTCCCTCTCCCTCCCTCCCTCTCTTCCTCCCTCCTCTCCCTCCCTCTCCCTCTCTCCCGCTCCCTCCCTCCCTCCCTCGCTCGCTCGCCATCTCTCCCCCCATCCCTGTATGTGACAAGCATGCATCGACTCGGAGTCCTTGGCTGCAGGAAGGTGGCATCCTTGTCAAAGGCACGACCGGTTTTCGACCGAGAGGCACGCCAAGTTTTGCTGTCTTTGATCCCGGGCCGAGGTGCAGCGGTTTTCAAGGAGTACTACAAGAGACAGGATGCTGTCACTAGTCTGTGTCGGGTCTGCTTGCACGACTTTTGCTGAATATGTGAGGAGGCAACGGCCAAGGAGTTCACCGAGGATGGATTCTTCAGGACAGTGCCTGTTCAATTGTTGTGACAGCGTCTGTGCTCATGCAGAAGGACCGGTGACAACGCCGGGGGCTTTGAGGTTCTGCAGCCTGCCTGAGTCCGCTCGTGGTGCTGGCGAGGCAGCGAGAGGAGGAAGCGTGGAAGAGTGTCAGGCTATGCAGGCGAGGCGAGATTTCTCTTTGGAAGAGCACGCTCTGGATCTTTCTGGAACGGTGCCAAGCACAGGACGATGCGTGCGAGGTCGAGGCTTCTACTGGCAGGCCACGTGCAGATACGACCACTGCTCGGTTCCCGGAAGATCTCGGAGCAAAAGCCTCGAGCTTCGGATGGCTTCTTTTTAAGGCTCCGGAGCCTGCGCTGGCTGCGATTTACAGAATTCTAGGCTGAAAAGGGTTTCGAGGGGTTCGCGCGACACCTGCATGCTTCCACAAGTGACAAGCAGTCGTCAGGCCGCACTTCTGTGGACATCATCAAGAGTGGTGGCTACAAGATTTCGGGCTTAGAAATTGAGAGCGTGCCCCACTGCCGCTCTGCTTTGTCTCTGTCTGTGTGTGTGTGGGTAACAGACCGGCAGGTACTGCTGCAGCACGACAAGATTCGAGAATGCGCAGTTGTAGGGAAGCCTGACGAGACATGGGGCGAGAAGGCACCCGGTGCGTTGACGGCAACTCTGAGACTTCGCCGATGATTTGGTATAGGTGACTGCAGTTTGCGTGCTGCAGAGTGGTGCCGCGTTGACCATCAAGGAGCACCCTTTCTGAGGTGTTATCGCATGAAAGGTGGAATCACGGGTTGCTGTCAGCTTCGTGAGGAGCTTAGAGAATGGGGCAAAGAGCGGATGGCATCTTACAAGGCCCGGGAAAGGGGTTTGAATTCGCCTCAGCATGCAAAGGATGTGTGGGACTGCCTACGATTAGCCTCTCTTGCGAAAGGTGCCTCAAGAGTTGGAGATTGTGACCGAGCTGCCAGGGTCCCAGATGGGTAGACACCAGCACTTTTCAACCCAGCAAAGGTTCCAAGCATACTCTTGACAAGGCCACGAAATCAAATGGGCAAACTGGAGAAAAAGAAGATTCTTCAGAGGCTTCGGCTCCATGTGCTGCCCTGGAAGTTCCGAGTGAATGTCACGGAAGGTACGGTGCCAAGTGATTGGCTGATCCTTCAGCTGCACGTGCTCGCCAATCTAGATTGTTTTCCTCTGTAGCGCACGTGAATATTCGCTGCAAGCGCAGCCATCATTCCATTCTGTTTACAAATACTCTTGGCCTGCCTGTGCCTTCGAGCTTTGCTGTTCAAGGCAGATGTAGACGAGAGATTGTTTGTACTGCCCACACGCGGCATTGATTATTGGTGCTCGTCCGCAAATCTGCTACTTTTGGATGAATCTGACCGCAGCATGCCGCAGCCATGTCACACGTGCTGGTGCGGGCCCTATCCCAGACTGATGCGATCTCCCGACCCGGTTTAAGTCAACCGGATCAGTGGCTCGGCTGGTTGGCTCGCAGCTCTGCACCTTCACCTCAAGGGTTCTGGTGCAAATGGGCCGAAACTGGAAATAATCGACACTTCAGGTGGCCCTGCAGACTTTTAGAGCTTGCAGCTGCGACATGCAAGAATCTGCCCGACAGGCAGCCTCAGCTTCAAGGTGTTTCAAGGCGGCCCCGCGGCGTCGTGCCTCTCTAGCTGACTCTAGCTGTAGGCTGCATGAACATGATGATGTAAGTGGACATACGTGCGTGTCTATGTATTTGTAGGGAGCTGTCTTGTTCATACAATTCTTGAGTTTTCATCGCGCCATGGTTGGGGAACAAAGGCCAGTTTCACCAGAGACAAGCGCGATTTATTGAAGAGATGTGCGTGGATTATCATTCACATGTGCAGGTTTTGGTTAGGGTTCAGGGAATCCGTTGCGCGTGTCTGACAACTCCTTTTCATGTGCCTGAAAAGCTCCCCGGCCTTATACTTGTACTCCCGACCTGTTCTCGATAAATCCGGCACAAGTGCTTGATAGCGCCGTTCCATGTGTTGAACCACGGCGCCTGAACAAACCATCACCCTGTGTTTGTGATTTGATATGTGTAATTACAATGCATATGATTACTTCTACAGGTGACGATGACGATGTCCATGCCGAACATTGGTTGGAACAGCCAGGTGAACTCTGCGAAGGCACGAGAGAGCCATGCCACCGCAAAGAGCAAAGCCACCCGCACAGATGAGCAGACTCTAGGGGCAATCAGCAGACGCCCACTGCACAGTAGCCATCACGTCTGCGGCCCTCTGCCACCGACATGCAGGCATTTAGCGCCAGCGCAGCTCAGCCACAAACGAGTCTGATGCAACAGTCATGCCCATGCTCAGGAGGCTGTCTGGCTTTTTTGGGTTGCCAAGGTTTCTGTCGATCACCTGCATGGAGAGTTCATGAAGGCATTGTGCCTGTGACGGTATTGCTAGACGAGCTCGTGCCGGATGCTTGTCGAGGTTCTGGATACGGTCGAGGAGATAAAAATGGAGAAAGTAGAAGCAGCGGAGGAGGCCCCTGGCACACGTGGTAGATGGATTTCCCAAGCAGTGACCTAGACATTTGAACGCCATCCTGTCAGAGGCCAAACGCTATGCGCGGGAACGTCGCCTTCGCGAAGAGGAGCTGAGGCTGCAGGCTGCCGGACCCTGAGCCTCTCTCGCATGAAGTGCGCAAGCACTTGGCAGTGGGTGCAGCATAAGCGCGTCTGAGAAAAGGTCACGGCTTTCGTCTTTGAAGGGTTTAGCCTTGTGATATCTTGCGACGCCACTGCACATAGCTGTGCCGAAGCAGCCGGTGTCTCGGTCCTTGATAAAGTATCGCGTGTTATGAGGGGTTTGGGAGCAATCGGTGTCCACAAGTGGCGGTGGCTGCAATCTTGCACTTAAAGACTTTTTTGTCCTTTCTGTGTGAGCTTGACTTGGCAGCCGCAGGAGCAGGGCGCACGAGATTCACCCGAGAAGCAGGTTCTTCACTTATCTACCCGTTGAGAAACCAGTCGACTGCTCTTCAGCACAGCTCTGCAAGATGTCAAGGCCCTGTTGGGCTTGCCAGACGTTGCTCGGAGCTCTGCGTACCAAGTTTCGTGCCTCTCGGAGTTTCGTTCTGGCAAAGGCTCCAGGTGATGGGGCCGCCAAGGCCCCCTCTTGCTTTCAGACGGAAGGAAGCAGGTCCAAATGCTCTTGGTGTGAGGTGAGGCCCCGCAAGAAGAAGGGACAGAAGAAGGCACCATAATATGCTCGGGGTTTGCTGCACTCCTACTCCCGTGGACGAAAACAGGAGGACGTTTTTCAGGACTTCGGGAAGGCAAGTCCGAAAGCAGCCTTGCCACCTTGCTCGACTGGAAGTGTGCTGTGCACACCGAGGAGCATGACGACGCCCCAATCCAGGAAATTAAGAAGAACGGCCTGGTCGGGTGCTTTGGTGTCAGGGTGGGCTGATATCGCAGTGGCTACCGGAATAGGCCCGATCTGTTGAGATATTGATGCGGCAAGGTCTTCTACCATCTGAACTACAAGCGCTACTGGCAGCAGCTTTCCCAGAATCCCAGACTGAAAAGTCAACTCCGCACCGGCTCTTTGAGAATGCCTTTTGCTGAGAACAGGCAGATACATACATGCATATCTTCTACTGTAGCTCAGCTCGGCTTCGGAGCCTGTGCCAGGCCTCCGTTCATCCAGCAGATTATATTATATTGTATTGTATTGTATTGTATTACATTGGTTTAAATCATATCATATTATATTATATGATATTATGCTGTGAGACAGTCCTGGCAATGCAGTCAGAGCAGTCTGCGGGTCTGCGCGGTGCCTCTGTATCCCAAGGTCAGATCGAGATTTGGAAAGATGGGGTAAGGCTGTGGTGCCATTATGTGCAGTTTGAGAGGTAGCATCGCGCTCTAAGCCTGAAGCGGCCGGTCGCTCCAATCCCACAACTTCCCGGCCTTCAATTGTTTCTGACCAGTCTCTTGGGCACAACATCCGGCACGAGAAGCTGCTCCTTGAGGCGGGTCATGGGTCATTTGAACATGGGTTTGGATATCCCTTGGAGGTGCGAAACCGCTGGGCTGAAGATCTTCTTGGTGATCGGATGGAGCTGAAGATCCGACACAATCCTCTTGTCAGGCCGCTAGTCTGGAAAGATCTACAAGTAGTGCAAACTCTCGATAACTGCGCAAGGTCACGGACGCAGGAGAGACTCAGACCGACCACCGGTGTGTCGGTTGCCTTGCAGCTCAAGGATGTTGCTCACTTGCTCATGGCCATTCATCGCTCTGTTGGACCATGTCCTTTGGATTCTCCGAGACGGACCAGGGCCATCCGAGCCACAAAACCCTCAATGGCATCTTCGCCAAGTGTGCATGACAGCGCCGCTGCATTGGTCCAAGTTGGTACAGATGCATGCTGATTTGCGCTTGGCCGAATGCCGGTATTGCTGCAGACGGCGGCTTTAGTTCCAAAATTACTGCATGGCTTGGTTTCCGATGCACTAGGCTCTTCGTCTCTGCATCCTCGTCACTGCGGCTTCGATGGGTGACGCATGCCTGACCGGTAGCAACACTGCACAGGCATTGCGACACGGCCGCTGGTACCACTCTCCTTGCTCCTTCCAGGCAGTCGGCAAGCGGAGCATCATGTCCACAGCATAGGGCATAGGGGCTTCGGCTGCCCAGCTTGTAAGGCGAATGGCCCACGGTGCATGCCCTGACCTCGGGGGGAATCTTTTCCGGCTTCTGGGCACAGTGTCAACGATCCTTACAGGACTGTGCTTTCTCTTAGAGTCGACCAAATTCGTTGAACCCCTGGCTCTGGCTTGGCCTGCATTCTCCCAGTCTCAGAGCTGAGATCCCCTCCGGGTTTCCGATCACTACACCACCGGGGCACAGAGTCGCAGCAGGAGTCAGCTGCGGAGCACTGCTTGGAAAAGCCGGGCTGCATTTGCTCAAACTTGCGGCAGCGGTCTACACGACGGATGCCTGACTCTGTCGGGAGACTTCAGGAGGAGATGTCCATGTTTCGGGTGACAATGAGGGCAAAACGGTTTATGGTGTGCTGAGGATGGGCTCTTGCAGCTTGCCAAGATTCTCTTGCCTTCCTCTGTGGCGTACCCAGCCAGCTCTACAGGCAGCTGCTCAGCAGGGAAACCACAGTTTCTGGCTCAAGTCAAAAGATGTGAGTGCGTTCTCGAGTGGTGTGGACCCCGAAGGTGTCTTCACGCTTTTCCTGCAACTTCCCTTGGCAACTTTCATCCTGTCCGAGAGCACGGTCAAGGTCCGGCGAACGACGTTCCCACGTCTAAGTGTTGATGCAAAGCATCCGGATCCGGCTGCAATGCTGCAAGGAAATTGGGCAATTGTGCGGCCCAGCTCGTTTGGCGATGCTGGCAGGAGCAGCATGTCTTCGGCACGTGTCGACCCAGGCCTTTGGAATCTCTGACTCTGCTTTGCTCTTCCGCAAGATTTCTTGCCGAGTTTGCTTGCAGATCGCGGATCCCTCATCGGGACCGGCCTTGGGTCTTCTAGCGATGGCCTGCGTTCTTCTTGTTTTCGTCCCGCACTGAGTTTGAGAGTCTTGTAGGGGATTGTGATAGTGACTCAAGAGCGACTGAAGTGCGTTCCTTCCTCAGGGATTGACCCCGCAAAGCTTCTGGAGGACGATGGCAAGGATCTTGCGAAAGGCTTCCAAGGTCAGGACTGAGAAGCCTTTTTGGCTGCCACTGTTGAAGGGAACAGAACCACCCAAAGGTGGCAATTGCAGTGGGCTCCTCAGTCTATGCGGTGGTGACCTGGCTGTTCCCAAAACTTCTGCATGTCCTGCCGCATGGCTCGAATTCCAGTTTTCTTGGCGCACGCGTGTGAACACTTTAGGTGTTTCGAGATGTCTCAAGTGCTTGTCTCAGGCAGGCGGTGCTCCAGTTGCCTCCGCTGGTTTGGCTGTATGAGGCCGGAAGGTAGGATGTTTACCGTCATCGCCGTGGCTTGCGAAATCCATGTGAGCAGCTGCTTGTGCCTGTGGGGCGTTGAGGCGATCGTGTTTCCGTTGTGGCAGATCCTCAGCCCTCTGTTTTTGCCCGTCGCAACCGGTGGTATTGCGTTTGCAAGCTCTTTGGGTGCAGAAAGTCGCACGAACAGAAATCTTGTGCTCATGTTAGTTTTGTATCGCCCCACGCGCTCTGGTAGGGGTCGAATTCCGAGAGCAGACTAGGCTTCCGGAGTTTGGGGACTCTCCTGAACCCAGACCCTGCGGCGGTGGACGTGCCTCGCCACTTAATGGTGCTGACCGGTGGGGTTGCGAGGCTGTGAGCCCAGGCAGCACGGATGCTGGGCCAATTCTTCTGCGGCTGCTCAGCGGCTCTCTCTAGCTGCTGCCTGATCCTGAACTATGCGTACAGGATCTGGCCGAGGCTTGGATGCTTTTTCGATGAGTCCATCCGCTGAGGAGAGCTGTTAAGCTCTCTGTGAGGCGTGAGCAGCCAGATCCACTTCAGCACCCTTGGCTTCTAAAAGCGTGCCCCAACTGCTGTTGGCGGGGGTGCTTCTTGAGGATCTGTCCAGGAATTGTCGTATAGAGACCGGTTGACCCAAGAGTCCAGCGGAGTGGGAACTTGTCACGGCAGTGCACCCACTTGTAGCAGTGTTTTCGGGGCCACCTGTTAGTCCGAGATAGTCCGAGGCCTCTGATGCCTTTGCTGATAAGTCTGCCATGTAGCTGAGGTTTATGTATCCAGCAGGCCTTGTCGCAGTGCCGGTTCGAGCAGTTCGCCTGCTATGGCGTCTGTTTATGAACCGATTACTGCAGCCGGTCTTGGTTACTGAGCGGCACTGGTCCTGTATCCCCCACTAAGTCTCGCCTGTGGACCTGACGGATGGAGCCAGGCTGTGTTTGTCAACTGCATCGGGCACCTCCTGCAGTTTGCAGTCAATTGTCCTATTGTTTCGATACCGGCCGTCATCTGCTTCAACGTGGTCCTCATTAGCAGCTGCACTTGCAGTTATTCGCTCAAACAATGTAGCCAGCCAAGAGGCCAGCTGCCTCTGACGGCTACATCAATGTAGGTTCATCCTAGACAGACGGTGGGTTTAGGTAGTAGCCTATCTGTGGTTCGCCCCCTTGGAAAAGTTACCAGTGGAGTTCCCGGAGTCTGTAGAGTCGTCATACCTCAACCTGCAAAGCTGGCAGTGCTTCGCTAACTTATCACTGGCCTTTCACCATTCCGAGGATCAACATCGACATCCGGCACGATCTTGCATGCGTGGCGCCCAGACCGAGCCCCATCTCGAAACATGCTGCAGCGACTGCAAACGAAGCTGCAATCAAATGCAATTTATATTTTCTCTTGGCTGGCAGCAGTGCCTGATTACATATCATCAAACGTGGTTAACATCGTATGAGCAGTCATAGTTGCCAGTTGGCCTGGCAACGGAGCGTAGCATGGCGAGAAACACAGACTGTCCGTGCGAACTTTAGCCGTGCCAACCTGTACCATCGTGAAGACTGTGCACATCTGTGAACCTTTGAGGTGCTGGCACAGAGCTCCCCATTGGCGTCGAGCCTCCTCCGCAGCCTGGCAAAGCTCCAAGCTGTCGTGGCCGAAGGAGCGGATGGCTTCTGACGGTTTCTGAAAAACAGTCTTGACGAACAGACCAAGACTTGGCCCGAACGGCTTGCCGGACCTGTTGCCTTCAGATTGAAGTGAGAACTCTTTGTCGTTTGCTGTGAGTCGCAAGAATTCCATTCGACCATTTCTGACCTGGTCAAGGCTGAATCCAAACAACCGCCAAACTCTGCCAAACAACTCGTGGAATCTGACTAGTCCTTGTCATGATTAGGCTTGTGTTGCGTTATCATGACGTCGACGATCACAATTTTTTCCAAACACTGCGTAGGCTAATCAACAGATGAGAAACAGCTGAAATTAGAAGCAGTAGACCGACCTAGCTCCGCCTGCAGCACTTGGTTCTCTGTTTCTTGGAGCTCAGAGCTTCCCATAAATTGTGTGAGTCACATTTATGCGTCCCATTCACGGCCAGCTTTCGTAAAAGGCGAAACGTTGGTGATGATGTCGTTGTAGTGCTGGTGCCCTTGAAGATGCAGTCAACACCGAAAAAGGCATCTCCTGAGATGCCCAAACGAAAGAGAACCATTCCACGGTCCTTCGAAACGTTGGTGAAGTGAACGCTGTGATGACCCATGACACTTTCGGATTCTGAAAAGAAGCTCCAAAGTGCGCTGCATACACAAAAACAGGAAGGAACTCCAGAACTCCACCTTTTTCTGTCGACACAAACACAGGCAATCTCCACACATTAAGCAGCCCGGTGCAACGAGAGTGCATGGGGGAGCAAAAATCCCCAGAGGTGGGTTTCGCATCAAGACGCAGCAGCAACCTAGCTGCAGAACACTAGTCATTAGTGAGTGCCGAATGTTGTCTTGCCCAAGCCCGCATAATCTTGCAGGAATGACCATGACGATCAAACTTGACGGGAATTGGNNGCACCTCCGCTAAGCATCACTGACAGCGCTTTTTCCAGTTCCGGCGCTATTTCCAGTTCCGCAGCGGCGACACATACTCTTCTCCGGCTTCGAGCTGCACCTCGTCTCTTTGAGGAAGACGAAAGCTGCCGCAGGAGCCACCGACTCCATCTTTGCTCTTGTGCTTATCGGCGTCGTGCAGGTGCAAATCCCAGTGCTACTTGCAGCAAGTTGTGACTGCTTCTTGTGGGATCAGGCGACATCCTTCTCCATCATTGATGGCATTCTCTCGGTGTTGCGCGTGATACGCAGTTGCCCTGCTGCAGTTTGCCTGGCAAACCTGTGGTTTCGAATGTCGGAAGTGGCAGCCTTTGTCAGGTCCGAGTACAGGGCAAGTGCTGAGTTTGGAGGACGCTGGCTGCTGGCACTTGCTGCCATCACTTGGTTGGCGTCGTGTGCCGAAGGAGCTCAACGAAGTTGCAGCCGCGATGGACGATCCTCGACAATGTGGTCGATGTGGCTTCGGTCCTGTGGACCACCGAGGCTCCGGTTGTGGCTGTGAGCGCTTCACCGCGTGGTGCCTTCGTCCATCAGGTTGTTCAGACTTGTCCGCGCATCATGGCGAAGTCTCCATACCTGGAGGGGCAGCCATCCCTAATCGTTGCCCCCGTGCCCCGAGCTGCAGTTGGTCAGCGGAGTCAACAAATTTAGTGGTGTCACACATCCATCTACAGAGGTTGACACAGGTTGCTGCCTCACAGGCTGTGGATGGTTCGTCAGCGTGCTCTCAGAATGGCCGGAGTGGGATGGTGAGCTGCGGACACCTGGTCCGCATCCGACAGTCTGTCAACACAGATTTGATGTTCAAAAGTTGCAGCACTTCCTGTTTGGTCATTTGGTATTGTTCCTAAAGTTTGATGTGGAAGAGGCGACAGCCCAGGACTGAGCATGGCCGAGCACTCTACCGGCAACGGGCCTGGTGTGAGATCGTGGTCTGTGTGAGGGCTGCCTCGAAGGCTCTTGTTGTGCCCTACGCTATGTTGCTGCTGGGAAATCAGCTGGGTTCTCCAACTCTGACCGCCATGCTGGTCCTGTCTTACCTTGTCCCCTGGGCCTACGAGAATGCGACTCTAGGCTGCCAGTAAACTGGACTTTTCAGGCCGGAAACCTCAGAGAGTGCAGCTGCCGAGGAGTCTTTGCGAATCTTTGACGGCATCGCAAGTCTACGCTCAGCATCCCGAACGTCGTCGCTCATCGCAGAGGCAGGCTCCAAGCCCTGGTGCGGCTGAATGTGGAGCTGCCCGACGCGCTCCGCAGCTTCCAGATATCAGCGAGGAAGAGGCCATCCATGGGTTCAGAGTTGCATAGTGCGATAGGACGTGCACTGTCCAGAGTAATTCCGCATGATGAGCCGCACCGAGTATAGTTTTAGATGTCAGTGTCAAACAAAGTGAGGTTAAACCGGCAATGGATGGCTGTAGGCATCAAGACCCGCCAGGCCCTTCGCAACATTCTTTCTGCGATTCCGGTGTGCATCTTCCTCAAGCAGGCACAACTGCCCAACAACTCACAAAAAACGCAGGAGATGCTAGACGCTGCTAGACAGTAGACGCTTGAACTGACTTGGCAGGGGGATGTTTGCAGCGTGTGCTTGGAGACCTTCCCTGCAGAAGCTGCTGATACCGTGATCAAGAGTGACACCACCGAGGCCAGCCATTCGGGCCTGAACTTGAAGATGTGCACACTTCGCCGTTTGCTGATCCACGTGTCGCTCTCCGAACATGCAGAATACTCGTACTAATTACGGCACTGTACTTCCAGCATCTTTTGTGTGGCCTGTGGGAACTGACTGACAGGCCGCATGCAGAGCCTTGCGAGCCCTGCAGCCGCCCATCCTGGCACTTCGTTGCGGGCACCCGCTACATTTGGAGTGCGCGACTTGCTTGGATTAGATTCTAATCCATTCTAATCATTAGAATGCTTCGTCCTTGTCGACCCTGCGCAGAGTCCATTGCGGGCTTGGCTGCAACGACCCACAATGCCTGCAAGGCCATGGCAGCGGTCACAGCGTCCTCTGAACGCCACGTGCGCTGTCCTCTGTGCCGGGAGCCCGTGACTCTGGCAGGGGAGGCTTCAGCAACGTTTTTCAGCTGAGGCCAGGGCCGAGGGCTCTCATTGCCCTGCCCATCCCACATGTTACATACTTCGCTGTTGAAAGCACGCGTGCCCTGCGGCCCACTTTAAGCACAATCAGCAGTGAATCAGGGGCCATGCCACATCCATGTGTAACAGCTATCATCGCATGTCTACTCGCGACCCTCTATGGTATCGTTTGTCCCCCAGCACGTTGCTCCTCTGCGCATGTCAGTTAGTTGAAGTTCCTCGTCTTAGTCTTGCATGTACAGCGCCTTACCACGGCCGTGAGTATCCATAAGTCCTATAGCCCAAGAGCTCATTTGAGCACACAACAGAAATCGTAGAGTCCAATATGCGTTCTAAGCACACTTTGACACTGCAGCCAGGCACGGACCTCTGAATCCTTTCATGTTGCAGGTGGGGTGCTTAGTCGGGTTTGAGGACAGCCTAAATCTGAAAGAACTTTTCCCTAACTTGCTCCGGCAAATCCAGGCCGAAGGGCATGGCGTTGACCTTGTAAATATCCGTCGCGCATACAGAGCGACGTCAAATATGGAGGCACATCAACATTCAGGCTGATTCCCCTCCATGTGTACAGTGGGGATGCTGATGGAGTGCCAAATGGCTGCTTGCAATCGGGCTGCACATGCCCTCACATCACATCGCCAGCTACAAGCCTGAAAGATCGAAACCTTCAAGCCGGAGGGCTTCTGCTAATTCAGTTCGCAGGACCTGCAAAAGCAGCTGACGCCGAAGGACTTTGCATTCAGTTGGAAGGTGCAGTGAGTGTAGTGGTTTCGGTTTTCGATTCTGGCCTCAGGACCATAAGAAGAAGAGGGTCATGGCGGCACTGGCCCACAAACCGACGCTTGCCTGATAGCAGGGGCTTCAC